TTCTTTTTTTACCACTTCGTAAAATATGTATACTTTCAGTATCCATAATAACACAATTAAACAAATGAAAAAGAAAACTTAACGAATACAACAACACCAGTATTAGTTATTTTGAAATATAACGGACTATATTATAATATTGTAATCGTCAAACTATTATATTCGCCCAAGGCACTTAGAACGTACAGGTAACAAAGGGCATGTCTCACAGAACAAATACAATCTATGAACGCAATTTTGTACAAGTAAAAAATTTAATTGACACTTGAAACACATACAAGATTGTGACCTTTGGCTCATAGAACATAAATCAGAAATAAAACAATTTTTCAATTTTTTGGCACATAGAACGTTTGACACATTCACTCTTCAATTGTAACATTGTATATTCATAAAAATAATAATAATAATATTTAATTTATTATAATTGATGAGTTATTGTTTTTTTTTTCTTTCCAGAAAAATGTTTTGTTGCTTAAAGTGGGTACCATTAAAAGTTTTAGTGCATATACGAAAACAGCATTTGATTTATGTATGACAAGAGAAATGGCCGCAAATTTTAGTTTTTGTGACAAAACCAAACAAGCTTTTAATAAGCTTCACATTTTTTAGGTAATTTGTGGTATGAACATTAAACTGTAATAAAAATGCAAATTGAATATGTTAATATATTGGTAGCGCGTTAGTAAATCAAACTAAGCCTGGAAGACTAATTTTGAAACTACAAAGAAAAAATAACTTTTTAATTTATACTAAATTTTTCATAGAAAAACTTACTTGAATGATTTTGGGGTGTCGTGTGTACAGATCACGCTATGTTGGTTAAAATGCTGTCATTGAAGAAGCCATAAGGTTTCAAACAATATGAAGATTGTTGGTATAAATCCCAAACAGACTTACTTCTTTTTATTACAGAGAAAAAATACTGGTTATATCATAGTATAATTAGTATTTTTATTCTTTTCTAAATAGCAGTTAAAAAATCATTGTATAAAAAGAAATGAAGATGATGCTACAACCTGTATACAGGAGTGATCCTAGTAGTAAATTTTATGGGGGTGTGAAGTGAATATTGCCGACAAAGTACTTTCATGGATACAAAATTCTACAATTTATTTTAAAAATGCCGTCTTATGATTTTAATAAACTTTGGGGGATATGACATCCCCACACTCTTCTATGAAATAGTCCCTTCTATACAACATGTTTTGCCTGTGCTCCGTCCATCTGTTGTATAGATATACTACATGTTCAATAAATAAAGAAAAACAAGCCAATTGTTACGAATAATGGGAACCCTTATCCTTAATTTTTGAATCCTTGTATGTTCTATACAAATATATTTACTAGTTATTATATGTACTAATGTTTGTTTATTTTTTATTTTTTAGATGCTATGTCTGGCTAAATCATAATACCTGAACACGAAAGAACATTTAACAAAATAATA